GGCTAGAAGAGGAACTATGGGGAGAGACAGATAACACTAAATGTCTTTTGAAAAGCCATACAGAAATCTGCTGTGGAATATACATGAAAGGAAGTTTAAAGAAGTCACCATATAATGAGGAAATAATGTCCCAACTAAACATCTTATACCACAAAGAAAAAACACCAATGCCAAAAATGGGCAACATCTTGTTGAGTCATAGGCCAAAGGGGTCTCAGAGACCTCCCAAACATCACAGACCACTATCAAGGCTATTGGTTACCTTCCACAACCTGCTTCTGAAGATACCACTTATTTATAAAATCAAAGATGGGGAAATTGAGCTGGTGTCCAGTTAGAAGCTTCAGCCCCACTGGCTAGTGTTCATGGTGTCGGAAGGGACTTTGCTTACTAATGGAGAATTGTCATCATCAATAATACCTGGCCACAAACATTGAGACCTACAATATCAACCTGCTGAAAAGATACTGGTGCAATAGTGGAAAAAATGTTATAGAGGCAATCAACCACTTTTTAATTGGATCTAAGACCTACTCCATGAAATAAAATCCATTCCTGACATTGCTAAAGTGGCCAAGAGTCTAAGACTACAGGTCATAGGCCTATGAGAAAGCCTACTATTATTACTCTGCTAAAAGAACACAGCAATAAAATGACTCCAAATGATACATTACAATACCTGTAAAGCAGAGCACTGCTCATAACTCAGCACAGAAGCTTCTTCCTGCAGTAGGTGGTAATTAACAGAGACCCACAGCTGGACAACATGCACAGGAAGAAACTTGAAAAACTCCACCCTAAATGGGATGTCTTTATCAAATCCCTCCCCTCAAGGCTGAGGATCTATGAGGTCCAGTGGGGGATTGAAAGAGCCAGAGGCGGTAGATGACTGGTAGATGACTCAAGAAAACAGTGTCTACTGGGAAGCAGACTGCTAAGACATAAGAACAAAGGTTCTGAGAAAAAGCACAGGACTTGCACAGGTTCAAACTAGACAAAATCCTATCATGGAGAAGTAGATAAAAAGTCTCACCCCTACCCAAGAAGCCACTTGCACTCAACACCTGCTGGGAAAGGGAAAATCCATTTTTTTCAGTGAAGTGCCACTGAGTGTATGAACCGCACTTCAGGGCAGGCCCCATACAAAACAGATTCCAAGGATTTTGGCCGCTTTTGTTTTATTCAGTTATTTTTGCTGTTGTTGTTGATTTTTTTTCTTCTTAGTTTGTTTTGATTTTAACTTTTTGTTGATTTTCTTGTTTGGGTCTTTTTTTGAGAGAAAGAGAGACAGAGAGAGAGAGAGAGAGAGAACATGAAGTTGTTGGGCAGGAGGAAGTAGGAAGGATCTGGAAAGATATGGATGGAAAGAAAGAATATAATTAAGATATACTATATGAAAAAATAGTAAAAATTTCTTAAATAAAAAATATAAATTATAATGAAAAAAGACAGTTAAAAAATAACATACCAGGAGCAAAGCAAGTGTTAAAAACCACAAATAAGAAAGTAATTAAATGAAAAGTAATATAAACCAACAGAAATAAAGAAAAGAGACCAGGAAGCATTTAAAGACAAGAAGCATTTATAGTGAGAGAGCAGAAATGGGGAGAACACATTGTACGAGAAAACATGAACTAGGGGGCTGGAGAGATGGCTCAGGAGTTAAAAGCACTGACTGTTCTTCCAGAGGTTCTGAGTTCAATTCCCAGCAACCACATGATGGCTCACAACCATCTGTAATGAGATCTGATGCCCTCTTCTGGCCTGCAGGGACACATGCAAGCAGAATGCTGTATACATAATTAATAAATAAATCTTTAAGAAAACAAAGAATACATGAAAATAAATGAGAGGAAAGCAAGAGTGCTCAACTCATATATGGCATTAAAGAAACATAAGCAGTAATGGAGTCATTTGAAGTTTTGTAAAAACATTTCCAAATAAAATAGTGAATTATCACAAATTCATTTTAACTGGTGTTTCTCAAACATAACTTCTAAAATTGTAAATTCAATTCCAAAGACCACAAATATTGACTCCTTAAAAAGCAAAGAAAATATAACTAATTAAATTTTGTAATAGCTTCTCATCTCTCAAAGTGCCAAAAACTACTAGGGTTTAAGAGCAAATGATTAACGCCAATACATGCATGTATTGTGTTACAAGAGACTTGTATGACTCGAGCTACAAAAGCAGAATTGCAAAGAAAGGTAGTACATAAAGAATTATCACTTAAAATTATGTCAAAATTTTATCAATACGGTCACAAAACTTTCTAACACACTTCTTCACAGAAACTAAATACATTTTTTTTCTGTAGACTCCTATAATCTCCAGTTATAAGACCAGACCATCTGATAAAGCACTGACTTGGGAGGCCATATAAACATGTGTACTATATGCATGTTACTATGTATGTGCAATGTTTGCATGTGATTGTACATATATGTGCATGTCTGTGAATATGTGTGTAGACCAAAGGTCAACAATGTGTGTCTTCCTCAGTTGCTCTCCACCTTACTTTCTGAGACAGGTTCTCTCACTGAACCTGGAGCTCACCTATGCACTGGACAGCTGACCACAACACCAGGGATTCTCCCACCTCCACTACCCAGTGCCAGGATTATAGACATGTACGGTTGTACCTTGGTTTTACATGGGTGTCAGGGATATGAACTCAGGTCCTCACGTTTGTGTGGCATCTCTCTTATATGCATGAGGGAGGTACTATTTTGAAAGAATACTTCAAAATGTGTTTATAGTATGTCTATACTGGTTCATAGACTATGAATGTATTTTATATTTAAGTGTTGGACTTTTTCAAAGAATCATCAGGAATGTGACCCAGTAACACAGGAAAATAGATTAAAAAAATGATAGGAGCCACAGTATGTCTTCTGAACCAGTCTCTGGTATCTAGGAAAAACTGGATGTAATAGCATAAGTTCTTACCCTTTCTATCTTTACGTTCTGTCCATCTATTCTAAAGTTTTTTGGTTTGGTGGTGGTGGTGGTTTTTTGTTTTCTGTGTTTGTTTGTTTTGTTTATTGGTTGGCTGATTGGTTAGTTGGTTTTTCAAGACGGAGTTTCTCTGTATAGCTTTGGAAGCTGTCCTGGAACTCCCACTGTAGAGCAGGCTGGCCTTGAACTCACAGAGATCCACCTGGCTCTGCCTTCACAGTGCTTGGAATAAAGGCTTGTGCCATCACTGCCCAATATGAAGTAATTTTTTTTGAGATAGAGTTGATTATAACTGTCTAGGTGGGGGCACTTTAAACAGTAAACTATGGACCATTCACAAGAGCCAAACAGGAGTTGCTAGCCAGCACTGAATTGGAAGCTTACTGGGACTTATAATTATCTCAGCTTCATTGTTCTTAGTTTTTATTTTTCTTAAATAGCAAAAAAGAAGATTCAAAAAGGAGCCATAAGGAGCTAACAGCATTAGATATGAAGAGACCTTTCTACTGTGACTGTCTTCACACAAACACACACACACACACACACACACACACACACACAGAGAGAGAGAGAGAGAGAGAGAGAGAGAGAGAGAGTCAGCTCTAACCAGAAAACTGACATTGAGAAAAACAACCAAATAAGGACCTCTGAAATAACAGCAATAGCTATAGAATTGGCTGACAAAAAAAAAAAACCAGCTTCTCAAACCTGACATAAAGCTAATACCTTTACCCTAGCATGCCAGAGGCAGTGGCAAGATGATCTCTAAGACTTCTGGTCTACAAAGCCAGTTCCAGGCCAGCCAGGAATACATATTGAGACCCTATCTAAAACAAAAAAAAAAAAAAAATGTTTTTCTCAAAAAGAGTATGACTTAACTTTCATCCAAATGTGTTATTCATATCCATAACCTTAACAGTTTCACAGGTTTGATGATTTAACAAGAGCATTCCATTTTGAGGTCTAAATATCTTCATAGTTTGAGGAAATGAATACGAATTGTGTTCTTTAATTTATATATTTTACCCTGATCTCACAGGAAGGTATCCACACCATACTCATTTGCTTGCAATCTAAATTGAATAAATCAAATTATGGCCTTGGATAAAGAAAAAAATACTATTTTAGAAGAATCTAGATCCTCAATGTAAACCTAATAACCAAACGGTAGTGGTAATTCTTTATTATCTGAGACCATGGGCTATAGCAATGTGGTCTCATAATTATGTTTCCAGACATTTTTCATTTTCCTTTGATGTCCACGGAGTCTATGAAGTCAATTCAGATGACTGTACCTCATCAATGTCATCTCTCAAGTGATCACTTATCTGGCATTAATTTTATGCTACAATCAACATAAATCCCTTCCCTTGTCCTGACAATTTCCCATAACCTTCGAGCAAGACGGCACCTACCGCCACTCATCGACTTCCTGTAGTTCGGGGGACGGGGGCTATTTGTTAATGACCTTTTCTTTATGTCATTGGCGCAATCCAAACATGACACGGCCTCAAAGTCCTATCTCTACAAATAATGGCATCAGGATTTAAACATCTTACTTAAAACTCAGCCACTCGTGTTTATGTGTTTTTTTTCCCTCCACAATGACATCTCAAGGTCTTCAAAGGGGAAACTGGTATTTCACCCAAACTGCTCTTCCTTCCCCCGCTGCAATGGCTTATTTCAACACACACCCACCTAGGTGTACGCTATCACTGAGCGCTTTTCTAGTATTGTTACATCCCTAAGAGCATATCGTTCTCTTCCTCCCTTTCCGACTCCTCCCTTGGATAAGTTGCCTCCTCCGTTTCTAAAACACTTTTGGCGACAGCAATGGTGAAAGGGGATGAGGAAGGACGCTGGCTCATCCTCCTCACCCGCAGCCTGACGGCCCGGGGCAGTGTGCGCATGCTCACTGCGAAGGCCGCAGCCCGCCACCGCAGGTGCCGGCAGGGGCGTCGCAGCCCCGGGTCGGACCCGGGGAGGACGGCGGGCACCGCGAGGATGAAGCGACGTGTGGGGCGGGTGGGCACACTCACAATTTCAGCATCCACTCGCCTTCCATCACCAGCGTCCAGTTGGAGGCGGTCATGGGTTGCACCCGGCTCTCCTCTGCCGGCAGCGCGGCCTGCTCGAGGCCCTCGGCTGCTGCCGCCGCGAGACAGGCGGCCAAGAGCACCGGGACACAGAGGCTGCCTGTCATGGTGGCGCCCGTGGGGTAGCTCGGCTCACTGAGGGCAGGGAGCAGGGACTGGGTACCTCAAGCCAAGCGGGCGCCCTCCCAGAGGTATGAGAACGCAACCAGGCTCAGCGCCGCGCTCCCAGCCACGCCAGCCGCGCCGCCGCCCGCAGCCTCTAATCTGCCCGCCCTGCAAGGCCACGCCCAGCCACCATGGCCACGCCCCCCTTCCCCGCTGCTGGAGGGCGGTTGCCAAGACAATCGTCTGCTGTTTGCCAAGGCAACGACCTGCTCTTCCTGCTGACTGTCTGGCTGAAAATACCCAGATAGATGACCGACCCAATGCTGTTTAAGCTACCGTAGCACCCCCTTCGCTGGCTGTTTCCTTAACGGAAAGCGTGGCCGGTGGCTAAACAAACCCATTCCCCTTTTCATGGTAACACAAACCTCCAATACCTGTGGAGCGAACTATGGCAACTGGAGGGAGGGACAGTTTAAGAGCCCTCTGAACTCACACACCTCGCGCAGCACCGCCCGAAGAGATAAAACTAGATTAATGATAAAACTAGATTATGCGATCTTTTAAAAAGTAAACCTTTTTTAAATTTTATAGACGTTTAGAATCTGCGTACTAACAAAATGAGTCAGTGTGTGAGTATTGCTACTTGCAATGAGATTTTTCTCCCAGCTACAATTTTGCCAAACCTAGAAACAGAATAGTGGTACACGATTTCTGTATCTTTACAGATACACACTAGGCGAATCATATCCTGAAGATGTAAGACTTATTACAACTAGAGGGCCCATGAACTTCTCTAGAGGTCTAAGTTGTAAGATTTAGTAGTGTGCTTAGTACAGCATGAAAAATGTGGTTTACGTTCCTAGGCTAAAACACAGCTACACAACTCAAGAGTACTTAATAGTACTTAATGTCAGCCTCTAGTCAGTAATATAGAAAAGATCAATCTCGCTTATAGAGGCGTCTGGATAAGACGTTGTGGTGTACACATCAAGCCTACAATGTCAGTAGAAAGCATTTTACTGTGCTTATTAAAGAGTCATAATCAGGCCGGTCAGAGATGGTGCCTTTAACCCCAGCACTCGGGAGGCAGAGACAGGTGGATCTCTGTGAGTTCGAGGCCAGCCTGGTCTACAAGAGCTAGCTCCAGGACAGACTCCAAAGCTACAGAGAAACCCTGTCTTGGAAAAAAATAAATAAATAAAAAACATAAACATAAACAGGAAGTCTATCATTTTCTTTTAAATACAGAATATACAATTGATTCTCAAAGTTCTTATAATAGTACCTGGTAAGATGACTGTACTGAGTGCAATAAAGATGCTGCGACTGTGCTTTTAAGTCATTCCTAGATATAGACAGCAACATATTTATGGCGTGAAATAATATGATGCGCTGGGTCTGGTGGCACTGAAAGACCCAGATAAATCCAGATCTTTCTAGCAGAAAAAATAGAGCCAAAAATCTAGAAGAAAAAATGGATCCAAAAAATCTAAGCAGGGAGAGAAGAATCAAAAATCTAGATTAGCTGGTTCAGCGACTCTGTTTCAGGAACTAGCTGAAGATAAAGTTAGATTATAATCTTGAGAATAATCTTGAGAAACAGGGAGTTACCCCCTTGTGACTATCACTTGTATTTTCAAAATTTTTCAGTGATCACTGGTATTTTCGGGAATTTTCCAATGACTCCCTCCCTACTTCCTTTGGATTGCTGGATTATAGTTCTTCCCTTAAATACCCCTTCTCCCAGCTACTTGGGGTCGAACTCTCTACCCCTGCGTGGGAAATGAGTTTCGACCTCAGTGCACTACTTCCTGTCCTGTCAATAAACCTCGTGTGATTGCAGCAATGATAGTCTCTTGTGAGTTCCTGGGGGGTCGTGTTATCCCGAGACATGAGTGAGAGTCTTCGCGCTCTAGAGATCTTTCAGCACAGCTATCTGAGATGCTTCTGTGGGAGTATCACAACCTGGGGGGAGGGGGAATACATATATTTGTATGTATATATTCTCTTTCTACCAGTTTAAGGGAGTATTTCATTTGGCTTATGCTTTTGCATCCCTTTAAAGTTAGGAAAGCCACGGGGAATAGTTCTAGATACAAAGTTTTATGATCAAGAATGTGAATGTATTGCTGTCAGATTGAAGTACTCAGTTACACATGTAGTCATAGTTACCAATGACTCCTTCGCCCACTACAGGGACTAAGAGGAATGTTCATGATCTGAGAGTCTACAAGTGAAGGGCAGTTTGAATGGCTGAGCTACCTTCTGGAGAAGAGCCACACAGACAGCTTCCTGAAATCTCTGTAGGTTTCACACAAGCAAGATAGAGATTTTAATAACAACAGTCTACGTAAGTAAGCTATTGCTCCCTAGCTGATCATCCCAGGACTCATTTCTCATGTTACATTGTTTGATACACGCCAATAACCACCAGGTATTGATCGATAGCAGACGACCCTAGCTGCTGTTTTTATTCCACAAATTTTATGGACCACAAATTGTGCACAGGCTTGTGCAAGGCTCTGCTAGGCAGCGATGGTACCAAGTCTCTGTGCCCAGAAGCATCTGCTATCAATTAATACCTGCTAGTTGTGCTACACTTATCAACACACACACAGTACTTTACATTCTAAAATATAGTAGGATAGAGTATATGTCACACCATTTAGGCTAACCACCAATGATAAATATTTACCTCACATTCCTCAGGGGGAGGAGTTCTGATTTCTCGAGTTTGTCAATTTTCATGATTTAATCTTTCACATCATATCTATCTCAACTATCAACTCAATATATGTACTAGCTAGTAAAGTGCCTGAAATTTGCCCATGCGTGTGTGTGTGTGTTAATTACATGCATGAACGTGAGTGTGTGTGCCCATTATGATCACATGTGGAGGCCAGAGGACCACTTCCAATGTTTTGATCTATCACTGTCTACTTTAAGACTCTCTCTGAATTGGAGGCTCCCGGTTTGGGGGTTTTGACGAGGCTGCCCAGCTCCACCCTTAACACTGGGCACATAGGCACTTACAGCCTGGTGTTTTCCCTGGGTGCTAGGGATGTGAACTGAAGTACTCAGGCATGCAGAACAAGTACTGTTACCCACTGAAGCCCCTCAGTTAGTTTTTGGGTTGTTTTGGTGCAAATTCATTGCAAATACTCGTAATAAACAGCATACTAACCACTTAACCATATGCTTACCCTGCGGTCACTCTAAATGCTAGTGGCACATAAAAACTGTCAAAGCAGCAAGGACAGAGACTGGCTTCAGCTGACTCCTGCTGTAGCCTGAGTTTGTTTTCTAAGACCTCTTCTCGGCAAACATGAATTCTTGGCCTCATCACAGCAAAGAATTTCAGGATGAGTCAATACGGAGCAGTTGGAGTTCACTGAAAGGCTTGTTTAACATAGATCTTAAGCACAGGGGTTAATAGAAAGGGACGCTCAGGAAAAGAATACCACATATGGAAGTGTAAGTTTGACTTCTCAAGGGAGAGTCAGGTCTCTAATATGCTATGTGTACACACCTATGACTTTCTAAGTTACAGTTTAATGCGTATAATTTTCAAAAGTCATGCTTAAAAGTTGAGCAGAATGACATTTGCTCGTTTCCTTAATTCTCTTATTTAAAATATTTTGCTTTTACCTGAAATTGTGGGGTGGCATTATGAGGTGTGTTACTGAGATTTAGGCATGAGTATGCATTGCTAACAAGCTATAACGCAAGGTTACAAACATTCTTGCCCCGAGTGATCAGAATCACCTGTGGTTTTTAGCTTCCTCGTTTGCAGTGTGTTTGGGGAAAATGTGCATTGTTTCCATAGGCACTTTTGATTTCCTAGTGCTGCACAAGTTTTCTTAACTATCATCAGAGAAGGCAAACTAGGTCCCAGAGAGAAATGTTTTACTCTCTCTCTCCATAGTCTCCTGGATTTCATGCCATCCTATCCTGACTCACCAAACATGTGACAGAGTTATAGACATGCTACATATATATGGACCTGCAATTCTATCCTGACTCACAAAACATGTGATAGAGGTGTATACATGATGCATATGTGTGAATGCGCAATCCTCTACTGGATTCAAAGCTCTGCCTTTCGATACTCACTAAACTTATTTCTTGTCAAGTGCCGTTTAGAACATAACCAAAGAATTCATAGATCAAGTAAATTCTAAGATATGAAAGTCACTAGTGTTGCAGGACATTTGATCAAACTGCGAAGACGTATCTCTGTTGAACCTAACCTGCCTGAGCTACCTTCTGACTGATTTAATAAAGAGCTGGATGATCAATAGCTAGACAGAAGAGGATAGGCGGGTCTTCTGGGAAGAGGTAAGAACTCAGGGATGAATCAGGTGTGTGGGATTCACCAGCTAGCCATGGAGAAGTCGGGCATATGATACCGAGAAGAGGTAATGAGTCACATGGCAGAACATAGATTAACATAAACAGGTTAATTAAAGTTTTCAGAGCTAGTTGAGAACAAGTCTAAGCTAAGGCCAAGCTTTCATCTTTAAAAAGAAAATCTAAATCACCAAATTGCTTAATAGATGATTAAAAGGTACTCTCCTGTGAACAAGTGGTTTCTAAGATTTTGGGTGGATAAAAGAGCTAGGAAATAGAGTTGACATCACAGCGGAGATTTGGACAATAGGCAGAAACTCCTCCTGAGAGAAGGAACACACCATTAATTACCTATGTAAGAAGATTATAGGTTCACATTGTAGAAGAATAATAATCATTCGTCAAACAATTATGGGACCAAGGGTTCTCTACTGAAAAGGAGGTGACTTTATCTTCCCCAGGGTTGGGGAAATATTTGGTAAATGTCAGGGATATTTTGGAAAGAATCTAGGAGTAGAAAATGCTATTGATATCTGGTGGGCAGAAGCCAAAGATGCTATTGAATATCCCATGATGACAGAACACTATCAACCAATCAATACAAAGTCAAAAGGTTAGAAGGATGTTTGTAGTGTACACAAGCTTTTCTACGCACATAGAACATACAGTTGAATAAATGGAATGTCACTAGAATCACTGAAGACACCCCACCTGGTTCTCCCAATCACCAGTCTCTGCACCCATCTGGGAGAGGTCTTTGCCTCTACTTACATCGCAATTATTTATGGACCTGCCTTCGCAGTTTGTAGAACG